GTGTAAAGTTTGTGGCTTTGAGGTCTGGATTACAGACTTTGTACTGTATTATGATCCTTTGTATGAAAATTCAAAATTTAGGCTAGTGATGTACCACGTACTATAGTTTTTGGTAAAATCTTGGACTTCTGCAAACCTAGATTGTAATTTGGCTTGCGTAAAGCCATATGTGCCTCTTTTTTTTTTTTTTTTTCCCATTTTAAAATTTTGGTGTCAAGTTTGTTTAATTCTCACGGCCTTGGCACTACTTTGAGAACTGTCACCAATACCAAAATAATTCATATATACAGCTCATCATAAATGCCGAGTGTACTGCATATCATAATGTCCCCATATCTTGTGTGTACTATATACTAGAATTAAGCCCTCAACACTAGAACGGCGGTAGGGGTCATTTTGACCCCTACCGCCATGAACACTTTTGACCGTTAATTACTTTTGTTTTATTGGAAGAAATCGTTTGAAATTTTTTGACTTTTCCTAAATAGATAACAAATATTTGTAAAAAAAAATTCAGCATTCTAAGTTCTTTTATTGTAGTTAACATTAGTTTTAATTTGTGAAACCATTAATTTGAAATCAATTCTTATATCAAATTAATGAGTTATTTGAGTAATTGTAGTATGATCCAATTGATTGCCATGTATTCGATACATTTACAATAGTTTTTGAAGTTATTTGCATGTTAGTTTTTGAAATATTGGCATGTATTCCTAGAATGGCGGACAGGGGTCATTTTGACCCCTTTACTTTTTTAATCCCTCTTTCTGCTTGAGGCATTGTCAAATAACCCTTGAAAAACATTCACTGATAAGGACTTTTCGATTTCATTTATTGTAATGTTTACCTAAGTTGTTCCTTTGTTTGCAATTATCTATTTGTTTGAAGAAAATACTGCAAGGAAGGTAGATGCAGAGTTTTTCATGCTTGCATTTCTTTTCAAAAATAGTTTATTTTACAGATTTATTTTCTCATTTGTTAGTTCAGCTTACTTACTGCAGGTGATAACAGTTAGGACAAATGTTTACTTGGTAATCCCAAATCAGTATTTCAATACATATGAATTTTGCCGTCAATTTTATTATCAACTTTCCTTTACGCTATGAGAATTATATGCTAAAATATATTCCCTATCGTTTTCTGATAGTCTGATGTTTTTCTACTTTTTTAATTTTTACAAAATATGTCTAATAAGCAGAAAAGAGGTCTTACAGATGAAGAAATTAAAATTGCTGCAGGAACCAACAGAAAATGAGTCTGACAAAGGTAGAATTGATAATTTTTCTGTAGGAACTGAAGATGAATTCCAGACGCAAACTATTAGTGAATTAGTGAATCCGAGGACAGCGAAGTAAACGAAGAAGAACTCGGAAATAAATGGGCAAAAAGGGATCAGGGTATTTGCAAAACTGTTTTTACAGCTCCTGATAACACTATATGGAATGAAATAAATTCCAAAAATTCAGTCTGCGGCCGTGTTCCTGCTTATAATGTTCTAATAGAAACAGCAGGACCAACATCTTTTGCAAAGAGTCGTGTTTCTGAGGACAAAGGTGTCTAGTGCTTTCACGCTTTTTTATTGATGATGATATAAAGAAATGTACAGAATCCGAAGCTCATCGGCAACTTGAAAATAAAGATTGGAAGTTATCTCTGGCTGAGTTAGATGCTTTTGTCTCTATATTGTATGTTCGAGGAGTAATAGGATTAAAGGGCTTAGATTTATATTCCTTGTGGTCCGAAGTGTGGGGAATACTATTTTGCAAAGAAACTATATCAAGGACATAGATTCAAAGAAATAAAACAATTTTTAAGGTTCGATGAAAAGACAACAAGATCTACTCAAATATTGTGCATCTTGTTCCTAAGTTGTGCGCGGAAAATGCTTTTAAAAAATTGTTAAAAATTATTTTTGTATCAACTGCCTTTATTCTTAATTCATATGTGTAATTTCTAATATTTTAAACATTAAATAGAAGTGAAACGGAATGCTTTACATATTCTATTCAACTACACATATAATGATATAACTGAAATATCAGAAAACATTTCCCATTTCTGGATTTAGAGAGTGAATCATCCTCCGACTAAGTACATAAAAAATATTATTATATAAATTGTGTTTTATTGTAGTTAACATTAGTTTTAATTTGTGAAACCATTTATTTGAAATCAATTCTTATATCAAATTAATGAGTTATTTGAGTAATTATAGTATGATCCAATTGATTGCCATGTACTCGATGCATTTAAAATATTTTAAAAAGTCAATAAATTAATTTGTGATATTAAATATAAATTATGAAATACATATAAATTACATATTTGTGCCAATACATGGCATTTAAAATATTGCTTTACCATTGTTATTTCAGTACTTTCATCGAAGGGTCAAAATGATCCCTTACCGCCTTTCCAGTAGGTAAGATTTTCCCGCCGTTCTAGTGTTAAGCCTATTTTAATGAAAACAGATCACTGCTTGGAAATAAGTGGGGGGGGGAAGAGTCGCATATGACTTTAGTGAGCCAAATTACATTCTAGGTAGGCAGAAGTCCAAGATTTTGCCAAAAATTGCAGTGGATAAAAAAATCAGAATGTGCATGTCTTGTATCAAAAAAGAACAATGTACAAAAATAGACAACACTCAAAATCTGGTTACAACCACGTGTGTGCTGGTAACGACCACGTGTTTCAGAGACTTTTGCCAATGCTTTATTTTTCTTCTTTTTTCCCTTTTGTTTTCCTTTCAATTTCGTTCACATCAATGTACACATCAACCTATTTTCACTTCAAAAACATCAGAGAATTGCACAAAACTAGGTTTTGCACACTCGCTTCATTTTGTCATTTACACATCAATATATTTCACTTAAAATGTCAAAGGAGCAACAGTTCTACAGTAGAGGCAAACAAAAATACATAAATCTCAATAAATACATTTTTTTAAACCAAACAATAAAAAAATAAACATAGAAAAGGTTAGCATTAACATTATGCATTTGCAAGTATTATACAAAGCACAAATTCACTTACCATTGTGGCACACACAGTAAAACTACATAACAGCATAACACAAAAATCTCCTTAAAATTAACAGCATCTGAACTAGAATCCGTATATCGGCGTCGCCACATAAATTCACAGACGTAGGTGTCAAAAATATCCTACGTATTCCGGACTGTCTCGAAAATGGCTACTAAGTAAACCTTCATTTACACACCAGTCAATTAATGCACTTTACCCCTTTGTTCCAAATCGTACAGAAGCTTCAAATTAATCTTACTACATTCAGCCATTCTACTGTCTAAACAATGAAACAAGTATTGTATTTCCTAGCCACACACACCACAAAAGCTCGTACAAAACATCCCATGATTCAAAATTTCCCGGCATAATGCAAACGATTATGTCATAATAGGGTTTCCATAACATTCAACTACTCAGGTTACCATAAATGAAACAACAACTTGTTAATAAAAGGGAACAAGAACTTGGCGATAAATGAAACAACTTTGTGATAATACAAGGGGTACCCTAAAGTCAACTCTAAACGGCAACTAATTATGTATGCAGTCAAACCACAAAAGCCCTTACAAAACATCCCATGATTCAAAATTTCCTGGCATAATGCAAACGATTATATCATAATAGGGTTTCCATAACATTCAACTACTCAGGTTATCATAAATGAAACAACAACTTGTTAATAAAAGGGAACAAGAACTTGGCGATAAATGAAACAACTTTGTGATAATACAAGGGGTACCTTAAAGTCAACTCTAAACGGCAACTAATTATGTATGCAGTCAACTGTTTAGTATTAAACAAATGTTTATATGCAGATATGACATTACCTTCTGGTTCTCTTTATGGCTATTTCTGTTAGACAGTACATGCATTTTGTCATACATAAAGCTAAATTAATTTCGCTTCCTATTTCGACACCATGTAAGTTTTTGCTTGCAAAGAGAAGGAAAATAGGAAATGCTCTACTATACAGCTATCTCATTTCTTTTCACCTCATCCCATCTCATTTTTTGACCCATCTCATCAGACATCCACCCATCTCATTTTTTTTGTTCTGTTGTTCTCTCCATGTAAACGGCAGCCGCTTAAATAAGAAAAAAAAAAAAAGAGAGAGAGAGAGAGAGACACTTGCACCCACTTAGCATTATGCTCAATGTCAGCAGCAAAATCATAACATGTCAATGAAAAAAGAGGCATATGATGTCTTTAGGTGAGGAATATTCTTATTCTGTGGCAGAAAGTTAAATCGGAGATTTTGTCAAAGACGACAAAAACTGCAGTATGTGGGCCATCACTATGCTAAAATAATCCTGTAGGAGAGATCATATGTTGTAGTCACATTGGCGAAAATGTCTATGTAGAAACCATCTGGGGGAATGCTATGCACATAGTCACCTTTAGGCAACATAATGGATTGCTACTTTTTGCTAGTATTGATGTTTTGCTTCATCAGTACTTTTCACAGCTGTTTTCGCTGGGGCGGGGGCAAATAATCAGAAAGATACAAACATTTTTTCATTTCTCCTTCAGCAGTTCTTATGAGCTTACTTACCTCTTATAAGCTTGTATAGTCTGAATTTGTATTATGTTATTATTTTATTATGTAAAACAGAAAAATGAATATAATAAATAGAATATTTCACTACAGGGCAGTATCTAACAAATGTAACTTAATACTGCATGCCTAATAATGTACTAGTATATGACAATCTGTATGTATTCTTTGCTAGTCACTAGCAGCATGTTAGGGCATTGTAACATGCAGATTGAAAAGCCGTGCTGTATAAGATGAATCCATAGATTTCACATTATGTAGCACTAAATGTTACTGTAAATCTCAGTTTAAATATCTCATTTATTGTAATCTGATGCCATTTTTGCAAAATGTGACAATAAGTATCATATTGAGTTCTTCATTTATTTTTTACCTATTGATATAGTTATGAAGTTAATTGTTTATAATTTTATTTCAGGTGGAATGCAAGATTTTAATTATGTTTATAGTAATTGCTTTGAAATTACCCTGGAACTGTCTTGTTGCAAATATCCAAAGGCAGAAAACTTATCGATAGAGTGGAATAATAATAAAGAAGCTCTGTTGTCATATATAGAACAAGTAATTGAGATATATAGTTTATAAATGTTTCATAAATTTTATACTTCTGCAAATTCTTTCTATTGTTTACTTTCTATTGTTTTTTTTTTTTTTTGTAATATTTATCAGCAATATTTAAGTTATCTTTCTTATAATGTATTTAAAGTTTCAAGATAAATCATCAGTATTTTAAAAGCATTTTATTCCTTCATGAAGTATTTGTCTCATTTTAATGTTGTATTAAAAATTATATCAGTTTATGAGGAGAACAAAATGCAAGAAAATGCAATTTTATGTTTTTAATGAGTTCTTTATTTTCATCATAAAAAATTCTCTAATAATATCACCTCTGAAATCTTTAATAAAAAATGACTATGTTAATTTAATTATATGCAAATTTCTCAATTTTCTGTGAATATTATTTTTTTTTTTTTAATTCCAAAAAATTGATGAAATGTTCTTTTATTGTTCTGGATTATCTCGTGGAGAATCATTTGTGGGTGTTGACTGCATTTGTCATTTGAGATATACTTTGTCGCAACAGTATGACTTTGTGCAATCTCCTTTTCATCCTGGTTTTGGTCAAGAACATCCTCTGGGACTTAATCTGGGAATTCCATTCCGTTGGATTAAATCCTCCGATGTTACCATGTTGGGAAATTTCACCAAGTTTACCTTGTTGGGTATTGTTTTCTTGAAAGATTCTGTAAACTTGTATAATGGATTTTTGGATCAATGGGTTTAAAATGCCAAATTTCTCAAAAGCACTGTACTTATATGCACCAATGTGTTATCCGTTGTTTGAATCTGAGCCCACTGGTATGGTAGCTAACCTTTGGTAGTCACCATATTGAATGCCTTCTATCATTATTCTTTGACATATGTTCCAAAGTAAATTAAAAATTTTATTATTCAAGCGAACTACCTTATTTAAGAACATAACTCACTATTTTCATCCTAAAGTGCGTTCATGCATGTGGGCAACAGGTTAAAGCTGCAAAAGAATTGTTAGTATGTATAACAATGTAGCTGAATGCATTATTTTGCAATTTTTCCCATGTGTATTGAAAATATAGTGAAGTTTTTCTCTGAAAAAAAAAAAAAAAAAAAAAAAAAAAAAAACCACCTTCCAGAAAAATAATCGTCAGTTGCTTTACCACAATTATTTAACTTGAATTTAAAATGTTCATTCATTTTATGAGTTTCAAATCTACTTTATACAGATTTGTAAATTTATCAGAAGAATGCTAATGAAGTGTCCTTTTTTTTTCTCTTCTTTTTTAAGCACCTGAAAGATGCTGTCAGTATAATATTTACTTGAATTGGTCCAAAATTTACTTAATGTTAATTTATTTATATTTAATTATTGATGAGTGATTTTTATTTAGATTCATTTAGGTATCAAAGGAATTGTTCAGGATTCTGTCACAAAACTGGGTATACAATCTGCTTTTATTCGGGTTAGTGGCATAGATCATAATATTACCACAACAAAGAATGGACACTACTGGCGATTGCTACTGCCTGGAGTTTACACAGTAGAAGCATCTTCTTATGGGTATATATTATAATTTTTTACTCCCTCATTAAACATGTATTTATGCTGTGGTGCTCTGCATAATGAACATTCTGCATAGCAAACTTGGTTCTGTATTATGAACTGCAAGATAATTTTGTTATTTTGTGCTAATTTATTTTCATTTCTATTTTAAAAGTGCATAATAGTATGTACATAACAAAGACAATGAGATAAGGAATGAGTACATAACACATTTCTTATATTATATAACTGCTGGGAAAGCTTCGAATTCTTTTTTACCCTTATGTCGAAGCCCTGAGAGAAGTTTCATTTATTGAGGAAGGGGAGAAAACAAAGGATTAGTGCTATCTGCAACTATCAGCATTTAAAAAAATGGAAATTAGACTGATTCCATATTTCTGGATGCAAAAATTTAATTGATTAGAAATGGAAAGACATCTAGGTCACAATCAAACAGTGGCATTCCAATAAATTGAAATGAACAGAGTTATGGAAATGTAATAATAATAAATAAGAAGGCTTACTTTAGACAACTTCTAAACTGCTCTTTAACAGTGTAAAACCCTTTTTATTCACCAAAATGCACAACATATTTCTGTTTCAACTAAAGGAAGCAAAATTAAATTTTGTTCATATAACTGACTGGCTCAGTTAAAAATAAATATATAATCTTTTTTTTTTCCCTTCTTTTCTCTAAGAAACTAAAATTGAACAAGATACCCTTTTTACTTCCTTGTACAAAGTAAAAAGGAAGTTTTGTAATCGCGAAAAGTTTCAGCAGCATATTTTAACGAAAATATCCATTTTGATCTCTATCGAATGCAATTTAACGGTGTTTTTGTATGACATCTGTATGTAAGGACAAAATAAAGGACTCTTTTCCTCCAAAAAAATTATAAAACTGCTTTAAAATGAATTCTAAAGCGAATTTTTCGTGGCGTCTGTATGTATGTACGTATGTACGTAGGTATGTATCTCACATAACTCAAAAATGAATAGCCTCAGAACACCGAAGTTTTGTATATAGGACTGCTATAGCATGTAGATGTGCACCTCGTATTTTGGTTGCAATCAGCCGCACCAAACGTAAATAAATATATTTATATATATATCCACTCTGTTACCCGGCTCAGTGAGCTCAGTTTCTTTACTCTCATATGTTTGTAAATTGTACACTGCTCCAAAAAAAAAAAAAAAAAAAAAAAAAAAAAAATGGGACAGTGCTATATCTCCTGTTCTACTGGGATGATTCACGAAATTCAAATTGCGCTCTTCATGTCTCGAAAGCGCGACTTAGGATATATATTAGATTTATATATAGCACTATTCTAACATAGATATTTTGACACAAAATCGGGCTTTTTCTGAAATAACATACCATTTTTTTTACTTATTTCGATTCTACGACTCAAATTATGCCAGAATACCAAGTTTTGTAAAAATCGTACGAGTAGTTTTTGAAATATTAGCCTCAAAATTTTAGCTCCTCAATGTTAATTGAATTTGGCAAATATTTATTTATATCTCTTTTTTTATTAAATTTTTTTGATTTTTCTCTCACATTTCGAAATTTAGGTTCATTCCAAATAAAATTTACCCATTTTTTTGTTTTATTTTTTAATTCTATTTTAAATAATTTTATAAATTTTTCAAAAAAAAAATTTGTATTATAACCTATAAAATTTTTACCATCATCTTAAAGTAGGTATATTTTTAAGCATATCTGCAAAAAATTATACTTTTTTATTCAAAATTTTCTAAGATATACACAAATTTACATATTTTCACATTTTGAAATTTGGCATCTTTTTTTTTTGAACGATAATAACGCCAAATGTGGTCTATGGATTTTTGTTACACTGTATTGCCACAGCTATTTTTAAACCTTAAATTTCAAGTAAAATTTTACGGAGAATTAATTATATGACATTTTTTCCCTCAATGATGCGTAATAAAATATTTATTAATACTATATGAAAAGCTATTTTTTAATATTTTTTTTTAAATTTCTATCTTTTTTTTTTTTTTTTTTTTTTTTTTAAATAAGAGTAAATTTTCTAAGAGTAAATTTTACCTTCGGCGTTTTATCATCTGCTACTTTACTTTGTTTAAATCGAATTGTCTAAAACTGAGAAATTTTCGTTGATGTTTATTTGAATTTTATGACATTAACTGCACAATTTATTTCTAAAAAAACTGATGCTTTTGAAGTGGCTGAAAGAGCGGCTGATACTATCATCCATATTTTTAAAGCACAGTATATTTTTATAGAAAACATACATAAGATTAGAATAATCATTTTTATAAAGTCAAAAATTATGATATAAGCATACAACCCTCTAGAGACCGAATTAATGCAAGTTTCAATGGTTATGTAGAAGAATGATCTGCAGCTACTTAATCGCTGGATAGGTCAGCAGGTTCTGTGGACAAGTAAGAATAATTATATAAACGGCACCCAAATTCTGGATTTAATTAACAACGAGGGTACGATGCTTATTAAATGAATTTAAGGAAGTTTTTAAACATAAAAATCAACTCATATTTTATCCTAAAATGTATTTTTATGCGTATCGTATTTTCAATTACTATTTAAAATTCCATAAAATTCTTAAAATTTAATTTAGAATGTAATTGTCAAGAACTGAATTCTAATCATCAGTAATATAATAAGTAATTATTACGGTTATTAATAAATCCTTCTTATAAAGTAATTGCAAATATTTCAAAAACTTTCCGTCTGAATGCAAATATTTTTAATTTTATATTAATCAAGATTGCACACGATATTATTTATTTGCACTTCAATTCTTAACGTCAGTTCTAGTAGAAGTTACAAATCAATTATAATAATTAATTGGATTGGATTCGATTATTTAATTATGGCAAAGCACACAAGGGCTATCTGCCTAAAGGGAGGGATGCCTTCGTGGAGGACTTTCTAAGGGAAACTGGCTCGTATACACGTTACACATCGGGAAAACCACGAAAACACCCATGCAACCAGCCCGTTCGCTGGATTCGAACCTCGGACCGAACTACCAGTGATCGGCATCTTTACCGCTCAGCCGTTCGTGGGCCTTAATGAAATGGAAGGCGATAACTTTATTTAAAATGATTGTCAGAAATACCAAAATGTTTCGAAAAGTTGGATACTTTTTAATATACTTTCAGAATGCTTAAAAAAAAAAGAAGAAGAAAAATAAATTTTTTCGTTTAAAATTTAGTATTTGTATTTTTTTAATTTAAAAACTTTTCAATGTTATGATATTTGATTCTTGCGATTTCAAAAATAAAATATTTGACTAAAATATGAATAACATTTTAAGAAACCAAAATGTAGGATAAAAATTGTGTAAAGCAATGAGCACAATGATAAAACTGTTTTAAAGCAGTGTATGCAAGTCATCCTAAGTTAAAATGTCGGTTATACATCTCTCTTATTTATATATATCTTTTCTGAACGGAAACGTTGAAAGGCGTGTTTAAAACTGTGCTTTACTGTATTTTCTCTTTTAAATAGTATGCAGTTTTAAAAAACTCGTAGTCTGGTTACAAAGTATTCTTCCGAAAGAAACGCAGTTCAAATAAATAAAATCAAATTTTGGAAAATTGATATTAATAAATATATTTAAAATGCCTCAGTTCGAAGGAATAAATAGAAAAATTTTAAAACAATTATCTGAAGAGACAATGCAACACAAACAATTAAAATAAAAGTATAAAAATTTAAAATTACCTAAAATAATAACTATGACGAAAAATATATATAAAGAAAACTATTGGAAAAAAAAATAAATGCTGTACCTTTATTTACGCAGTTCGAATAGGTAAATAGAAATTTTTAAAACAGTTATTCGGGAAAAAGAAAAAAAAGAAAAGTGCAACTTAAACAATTAAAATGAAATTCGGAAAAGAAAAAAAATTACTTAAAATAATAAGTTATAATTAAAAATATAATATAAAGAAATATTATTGGAAAAAAGGAACGATGGTGACTTTTTTCTCTCAAGGGAAAGGAAAAACTAGGTTGCCATATATTAAGAAGTTCGCCAAGTGAAGTATTCTTGGCGCAAACTGACAAAAAAGTGCCAACATAAATTTGTGAATTTTCTCCGTAAATTTCACTCCAAATTTTACAAAATTTCATATTTAGGCGTAATTTGAGTCGTAGAATCGAAATATGTAAAAAAAATTGGTATGTTATTTCAGAAAAAATCCGATTTTGCGTCAAAATACCTATGTTAGAATAGTGCTATATATAAATCTAATATATATCGTAAGTCGCGCTTTCGAGACATGAAGAACGCAATTTGAATTTTGTCAATTGGCCCAGTAGATCGGGAGATATAGGACTGTCCCTTTTTTTTTTTTTTTTTTTTTTTTTTTTTTTTTTGAGCAGTGTACATTTTTTGCTTTAAAAAGATTGAATTATGCTGTTCTTATCTTCCGGTTAAGGTTTTTATGCCTTTCAGAAATCTGCAAGCAGTATTTGTAGAATTTTTTCAATTCAACAATTTAAAAGCTGGTTAAGTGTAGTTAAGCCTAATTTTTAAATAGCATGGCAGACATATTTGTTTACATTTAAAACAGAATAGTAGATTTGCTGCCAATCTAGAGAGACTAAGATTCACAATAACAAAGATTAATACCTTCATTTATTATTGCAAATCATTCTTAATCCTTTCTGGAATTTTTTCAAAGAAATAAGTGTTTAAGATTTACTTCGTAATTTTTAATATAGATATTGTAGGAAGCTTTGTTCTATCCAGAAATATGATGAATGTGAACTTACTTCCTAGGTGGTTGTCTAGGGGCTTTAATTGACAAATCGGACTTATGATTAACTCGAATGTTTAATGGAAACACGAATAGCTGTTATAAACTACAAGGTGATTACATATGAATAGCGAAATACATGAGACTAAATACAAGTGAAGAGGATTAACTGTCTTTTACATATATGCGTCTTTAAATACCGTCATCATCGTCTCGCTCCAACGTCCTTCTCCGAATGATTGCGCAGTTCACTCTGTCTTAGCACTCGGGAGTCCAAAGTTCTTTTCTCTACGGCTTGGCGATAGATCTACTCGGTGACGTATTCCCAGAACTACTCGGCCTATTCTGACAGAATGCGAAGCCGCATAAGCTAAAGTTATCTATTTCAGTTAATGTTGCAGATTGCGTTGTTCCTTAATCTTCGAATTGGATCCGGCTTATTATTTTTTGCAGACTTTTAGAGCAATTTTATAAAAGTAAGCTTGAACTTTCGATTATGTCAAATAGAATTTCCGATATATATTTACTACAAAGCGAAAGTATGTTTCGAAATCTGTTTATCAATTTCACGCTGCTCTGCGGCAGAGGGGGGGGGGGAAAGAAAGTCATATTAGATTATGATAGATTAGAAAGATATGTCAAATAGAATTTCCGATATATATTTACTAATATGTAATTTGTATCTACAAAGCGAAAGTATGTTTTGAAATCCGAAATCTGTTTATCAATTTCACGCGGCGGATTGGAAGTTGATCTGTCAGCACTATTCTTATCTTCAGGGCAGATTTTTTATTTTATTTGGTTTATAATTCCGTACTAAGTGTAGTATTTCATCTCGATGTACTCTGTCTTTGATATGATTTAAATCAAGTTCCTCGTCATTATAATTCGCTTCCGATAGTGAAGAAAGTGACCCAGAGGTTATTGAAAACGAAAACATTTTGATTGACAAATTAGTCGGTATTCTCAACACAGCAATTATAGGACTTAAACAGCGGAACTTTGTAACTAAACAAGAAATTATGTCTGTTTAATAGAATTAAAGAGAAAGTATTATCACATGAAACGAAGCAAAATTACATTGAAGGAAATGTTTAATAAAGTAAACAAATAAATATTAAGCTTTTTCTTTTTGTAAATTTTGATACCCTTTAGATCATAATTGTTCTTTATTTCAAAAATTACGGTTTCATATTTTTAATTTTGTAATTTCTGCATGTCATCTTAACAGATTTAAACTGATGATTTATAATCTGGAAAAATCAATAATCCGGAATCGCTGAAGTCCCTATGAGTCTGGATTAACGACTTTTGACTGTATTCACAAAATGACATAATGACAGACTTAATAACCATAACACATCAATTCATTCGCAAATAAGCATAAACAGGTTCAAATATCATTTTGGGTAATTGGGCAGATGAGCAATGTGTATTCAGGAAAATGGTTAAAAAGCTGTTTGACATCATTGGTGAAAAAATATCCACAGTGCGACGCTTATATGAGATAGCACAATTTGGATTGATTTTCATATTATGCAGTTTCTAAAAAACTATTACTATTTTTATCATAAAGATGTGGATGTGTCCAAATTTAAAAAGCAGAGTTAAGGGACTATTGCCAATTTAATATGCAATTTAATTACATAATTTTTATCGTAACACAGAATCATCATATATATGCTAGTATGTATAAATGTAGAGTAGTCGCATTAGGCGTAATCTATAATTTTTTTATATGCATTATGAACACTGAATATTTCTTACATCTGTCAAAATTTTCTCATATTATTTTACAGCTATTTGAAGAGAGATTAATTTAAAAAGGATTAAAATGATTAAAATTCAAAATGTGTTTTTACTGTTAGGAAGTCATTTACTATTTAGATAAAAAAGCAGTACAATAATAATAATAATGGAGATATTTGTTAAATTTGATGTGATAATGAACATTTAAGTTCATAGGTTCAGAAAAAGAAATGGTTAAGTGTTTTTAAATAATAAGTAAATGAAAAGTGTAATAATTTTCAGTAAAATGTGTCTTGTAAAACATCCAGGAAATGTAATATACTCTGCTAAAAAAATAATTTGTTTTGCAATAAATAGATCAACAACAAAAGTCAAAAAGGAAAAAAGAGAGGGCGAGAAAGTTTGCTATATTTAAGTAACACCATTTATGAATCTAAAAGCAAACTGGAATAAATTGAGCATGATAAACATAAATGCAAAGTTTGAAAATGAGATGCCCATGTGATATGTGGGCAGAGGTGAAACAAAAATTAAGTTAGAAGAATTTTCATTTTTAGTTCAGCAGCAAAATAAAGCTGGGATTGGTGCTTAAAATACAATAAAGTGATTTATTAACTAGGATGTGTTAAAAAATTAGTATACAAAATCAAATCAGGCATAGCTTATAAGGTAAATTAAATAATTTTCATGCTTAACTTTATTAGATTTGGCTAGATGTCCAGCAAATCTGAACTTGGGATAAATATATCAAAATATCCATTCATTTGATACAAAATTTATGTGCTCTATCTGTATTGATTAAGGTATTGTGAATTTTTATTCAAAATAAAATTTAAACATGGCTACTAATGGTAATGATTAAATATTTAGTTTTAATTTAAGTTTTTCATTTTCTATGCTAATCTATCTTTAAATGCATAATGTTATAAATTAGTTTGATTTATGAGTAATAAAGTTTTGCATTTTTACTGCTAGATTTTTTTCCTTTTCCCAAATCTGCCTTATTAAATTATTTACTTGGATTTTTATTTGTTTTTCTTTTATTATTTTTCAATTCTGAAACTATTTTTATCTATAAAATTCTTTTCAGGTATCAAACTCAAACTAAACTAGTTGTGGTGAAGAGCAAAGAAACTGCAGAAGAATTGAATTTTGAATTAACTCCTTTAACTTTAAATGCAGGGCTTTCAGAAGTCAAAGAAACTCAAATAGTTGAGGTTTCATCTTTAACTCCACATTCAAGTGACGATTCTTTTTCAAGTACAAGTCATAACTCCCACATAACTACTGTTTCCTCAACTTATTCTTCTATTACGGTTGCACCTGTACCAACGAAAAATGTAGAAAAGACAGAAAATTCAGCTGATGAAAAATTTGAGTTTAAGCATCATCATTATGAAGAAATGGTAGAAATTTTGAAGAATATATCTAAAAAATGCTCTAAAATTAGTCGTCTATATAGTATTGGTAAGACGGTAGAACAACGAGAACTATATGTCCTGGAAATGACTGATAACCCAGGTCAACATGAACCAGGTAAGAAAAGATAATGTTGTTTATTTCTGAGATAGTAGAATGCTTTAATTTAATTTTTTAATTAAATTTAAATTGAAATGTTGAAGTTTTCCTTGTTGAACTTTTCCTTTGAGTTGAAGCTCTAGGATTTCCACTTTGAAAATCTGAAACTTTTTCCAAGTAGTCTGGAGAGTAATAATTTAGAAGTCAAATAACAGGAGAGTATTTAAAAAAATACATAGCGGTCATCTCAAATTATGAACACTTTTATGTTTTTAGCAGTACGAAGGCAAATAAAAAGTTACTGTTTTATTTTATTATATATATATTGATTGCCCAAAGTATTTTACTTAGTTCATTTTTGAAACAATCTTATCAGGCCATAGTTCTTTCTACTTATTAATGAACTAGTTTTATTCTGCTCTTTAGAAATGTAATTGTTCTGTTAGCCATCTGTTTGGAATTATAATTAGCCCTCAAAAATGAATACAGTTTAGAAATCATTACATTGTATTACTGTATGTTAATAAAGAACTGTGTCAAAACATTTTCAATCCGTTTTTAACACTCAGCTCTTCAGTTTTATTTTGAATTTTTTTTTCCGAATATATTTATTTTTCAGTTTTATTTTATTATTTTCAGTTTTATTTTTATTTTATTTTATTTTATTTTTTCAGTTTTATTTTTGAAACACTTTAGGAATAAGAAGTGACATATAAACATATAGGAATATGAATGATGTACTATTGTTATAAGTTCCTTTTGCAACAATTTGATGTTTCTTTTTTAAAAGCTCATGTACTTTTCAGTGGTTTAGGTGCTGGTTTTCTATATCTGTAAATATCCTTTATTTGCATTACAGTAAAGCTAAATTTTTATAACGTTCATATTTATTTAGTTAAATTTTGTAGCACGTACATAAACATTAGTAAAATTTAAAAAAACAATTACATCAGTTATAAAACATGTGCCTTTTTTGAGAAATTCTTTTTTGCTTTTTTGTTTTCCACATGTACACGTTGATCTGTGTTTGTTTGAAAAAGCATCAGAGAATCGTTATCCATACAATTTTGGCACTGCATAAGAGCCAAAACAGACATGCTCTATATGCATGCCTAAGTTGGTGCATAAATACTTTTGCAACATTGTGGGCTTCCACAGAACTATTTTGGTGACATAATGATTTGCTTTGTGAATACTTTATCACAACTTTTTTTTTTTTTTTTTTTTTTTTTTTTTTGTGTGTGTGTGTGTGTGTGTGTGTGGAGGGGGGTAATCAGAAAATACCAAAAATAATACATTTAGGAATACTGAATATGAAAGAGTACATCAGTGGGTTAAAATATAGTTAACTTTAAACAGAACTTCAGTCTACCTTTATCATGTTTGAATATGTAATAGTGTAAACTCTTTATTTAAGCTAAGTTTCAAATGTTTATTTGTGCTTCTCATGTTTATACTCATCATTATTCAAATTTTATTACATTTGGATTGCTAATTATATGTTTGCTGCACATCAGCTTGCATTTGTGGGAAGGGGGTGATCTTTTAATTGATGCATAAACTCTATTTAATGAAATTGTAACATTATTGCTGTTTTTGTTATTTTTTAAAAATTGTTCTCCCTTATTTTTAATTAATATTAAATAAATGAATAGCAATATAATTCAAAGTCTACTTTGTTTTTGAAGAATTTGATGAAGTTCAATCTTTTAATAGGAGAACCTGAATTCAAATATGTTGCCAATATGCATGGAAATGAAGTTGTGGGACGTGAAATGCTTTTACTTCTTGTGCAATACTTCTGTGAAAAGTATAACTCAGATAAACGGATTAAAACTTTGCTGGATACTACACGTATACATATCATGCCATCAATGAATCCAGATGGCTATGAAATTGCAAAAGAAGGTAAATCAATTATTTTTACCTCAGTAATGAGATTTTTTATAATTTTATATCAGACCTTAGAAATATTATAATTATATAATTATAATATATATATTATTATTATATTCAGAATTATTATTCAGAAATATTGTAATTATAATATTTCTGAAATATAGTCAACTCCTATATTTTTATCTAAATAATTGTAGAGTCCAGGTGGGTTAACTTCTGTATACTGGAGTAGCAGGAAACTACACAGGAGAAGGGTTCACATACCCAGTTATCAACTCTTTAAAATTTACAATGCGTCAACTCGATGTTAACAAACTTTGCCTCTACTTGGGCAATAACTGACTCCATGTTAAGTTGTTGACTGTCGCAATTTTCATTCTCTGTTTTCTGTCCAGTGGCTGAGATCGGTCTTCACGTTTTTCTCCCCTATGCATTGGTTTCTTAGTGTGGAATGGTGGTGGCTTCTGGTTTTTATGTTTCTTGGACAGAACGTTGATTCTTGGAACGTACGTTGTTGACGACTGTTGCATGGGCACTCCTCATTGCTTTGGGCCGTGTTTGAGAGCCTTGAGCCTCAGCCAGTCTCTTTGTTGTACCCAGTGGTGGTCTTGTTGTCCACTTTCAGTAAACCTGATCTTCGCTGTATTCTGGTGTTGTCTACTGCGAGACCGTGTCATGGGACGAACATCCTTGTTCTTGGCTGGGGCCTTTCTTCTGGAAGATTCTGTATTCTTAAATTTCTTCCTTGCTGGAGCTACCATCTGTCTTGGCGTTCTTTTATGGGGCACAGTTTGAGTTTTTTTACTACCTTATCATCTCTATGGTTCTTTTCCTTTTCTCAGGGGATGGAAGTGCTGCTGGCACCGAAACCGCTGTTGTTACTGCTGCCTCTTCTGTCTCGGAAGCCTGCAAAAAACTATTCAGGATATCAAAATCTTTTCTGTCGTAGTATTTCTTTAACTGATCTGGACTGGCCTTTATTCTTTTGCCTGCATCTGAAGTAATATAAATTATTGCCCCGACGATCTGTTGCACGATGCAGGGAACTTCAAACTTGTGTGCAAACTTAGATACAAAATTTTCTGGAGCACTAGATAGGGTAAATTTTCTTTTCAGAACTTTATCCCCCACTTTGAAATCTGCTTTGCGGTTTTTACTATCATAATATAGTTTTTACCGCTCTCTTGCTGCATCTGAATTCTTTAATGCTTCAGCAATCAGTTTTTTAATGTTTGCTTGCTTAAATTCAGGCTCCTGTTTTTGGACGAAAATAATTTATCAAGTGGGGTCAAAATCTTTCTACCCAGAAATAATTCAGCGGGTGTTTTTCCCGTCGTGTCATGCTTGGCAGTTCTTAAAGCATATGCTAATTCGTCAGTGCAGCCATTCCAGCGCTTATGATAATTTTTAACATAACTTCTAATTATTTTTACTATATTCTTATTCACTCTTTTCGCGATGTTAGATTGCAGACTATAAGGGACCATTTTCATATGCCGTATGTCAAGCCCTTTACAAAATCCTTAAAAATTTGACTTACAAACTGCCTACCATTATCACTTATTACTTTTAACGGTGCACCATATTTTAAGATATACGTATGCAAAACGCATCTGCGACTAATTTAGCTGACGATCGCTTTAACAGAAGTATTTCTATCCATTTAGAGAAATGGTCAGCAATTACTAAAAGATATCAATTTTTATTTAACACACTTTGGGGAAAAGGGCCAAAAAGATCTGTTCCAAGAATTCATTAGGAAAAGTCACATGAATACTATTTAGGTACCCAGCCAGGCTATAATTAACGTCGTTAATTAACTGACATAATTTACAGGACCTGACATATACAGTTACTACTTTCTGTAGTTGTAGAAAATACACACCCCCTCGCATACCCTATACACCATTTTCCTTACCTTAAGGTGGCCAATGGTCGGGGCGCCATGCAATTCTTGCAAAATGCTTAGCCGTAGAGTGGCTGGAATGACTGACCAATATTCAAAATTTTCATTCATAGACTTAGTATAAAACAGCAAATTACCAACAATCTCGTAATTCTGGGCTCTATTTCTAATTGCAGCAAGGTCTGTATGTTAGAAGTTATCTGAATCCTTTAAATAAGCATAGATATTACCAAATTCTGGATCCTATCAATACAGAAATGATAGTTTCTCGGGAATCTAAAACTTTAGAGGTCAAAATTGTGCAATTTACTTGATCCCCTCATTGTCATCTATCTTGATTCTTGATAGTGCATTGGCCACGGTATTTTCTTTGCGTGTTGTACTCTTGTAACTTTAAGGCCCATCTAATTAGTCTAGGAGTTAAATTCTTTCCCGAATATAGTCTAGCTACGACCGCATGGTCTGAATATACAGTGACGGGCGCTTTTCCGAAATATATCCTGAACTTCTGAACTGCCATTAACACAGCTAATGTTTCTCGTTCGGTCAAGGTATAATTGTGTTGCGTGATGTTTAAAGTTTTACTAAAAAATGCCAGGGGATGCTTTAACACCGCACCCACGGCATAATCTGAGGTGTCGGCCGCAATCTCCAAGTATCATCACCCTCCGGAAACTTTATTACCAGAAGCTGATTTCAATTGTTAGAAGGCTGTCTTTGCCTCAGCTGTCCACACAAACTTTGATTTTTTCCATTTTAACACTAGCAAAGGTTCTACAATATTAGCAAAGTTTTGAATAAAAATACTGTAGTACGAGCATAGTCCAAGAAAAGATGACAGCTTATTTGCCGTATTTAGTGGAGGGTAATTTTTAATAGCTTTAATCTTGGAATCCTCAGTCTCAATGTCTTTAGCTAAAATTCTGTACCCTAGATATCTTAATTCTTTGGTTGCAAACTGACATTTTGCTGCATTTACGGTTAATCCCGCTTCCTTCAATAATGAAAAAACTTCGTGAAGGTCTTTTATATGTTCATTAATAGTATTGCTTGTTATGATGATATCATCTAAATAAATTAAAGTGGATTTCCCGAGGACAGGACCTAAAATAATATCCATTGCGCGTTGAAAAATTGAGGGTGCCTCGCATAGTTCGAAAGGCATACGTAAAAATGCGTAAGTGCCTGTTTTAGTGATAAATGCAGTTTTATTTAAGTCTTCAGGTTTCATGGCTATTTGAAAATATCCTGAAGTAAGATCGAGAGTAGTCATAAATTTTGTAGATTTTATTTTCCTAATAATCTCCTCAATCACAGGTAAAGAGTAAACTGGAAATTTAGTTAAACTATTAAGTTTACTATAATCTATTGCAAAGCAATATGCTTTGGGATACATAGTGGGCAAATTGTTCTTTTTTCTGCAGAGCACAACAGGACTCGCATATTCACTATTTATGTGAGTTATAATTTTATTTTTTAACATCTCTTGTATTGTGTTGCTCAATGATGGCCTCTTTCTCTTTGTCATACCTGTACGGTTTTGCTTTACAAGGTTCAATTGATTTTAATTAAATAGAATGAGTTACTATCTGGGTGTTCCCTGGCATATCAGAAAATAATGAAGAAAATCTACTTCTTGAATGATGAAGATTTCTTGCAGCTTGGCTCTTTCATCTTGCTTTAAATGCTGGAGATCGATTTCTGGAATTTTTTCAGCAGTTTCCACCACCCTTGACTTCATGTCCAATGTAATAGAGTTACTTGAAAAGTCAATTCTGCCCTTTGCCACCTTCAGGAATTGAGTTCTCAGGATGACTTTATTCTGCAAGTTTTTCACCGTGTAAAATAGGATGTTAAGGTTTTCATCCTTAACTTGCACATTATGTAATAGTTTCCCAATAAATTCGCACACTTTCCCTTGAGCGGTTGTTATTTCTGTCGTGTTATTTTTAAATAATCTGACTTTTCTAAAATATCCGTAATACAAATTTTGATTTAGAAAGTTCCCTTCTGCTCTGGTATCCACGAGTGCTTCTACAGCAATATTATTTAAAAGAACCTGTATTACAGGTAATTTTGAATTTTTCACAACGACAGTATTTAAATACATTTTAGAGGGATTTTTTGATGCCCAAGGGGTCTGAACCCTCAAATTCTCAAACCCCTCTGTTTGTTTAAAGCCGTTTTTCATCCTGCTGTTTTCTGGATACGCTAGCGGGTATTAGCATCATCCTGATAATTGTTGCTCATTCACGGCTTATGTGAAAAATGGTTTCCTCCATTGTTTTTATTTCTTTCCGAGGCTGGCTCTCTGGAGAATTGCTGATTAAATCGCTGTGAGGAAATCTTGATTCTTCTGCTATCCGCTGATTCTGAAACACTATGGCTAATTCAAATAATTCTTGCAGCGTTCGAAGATTTCGGAGTTCCACGAAGTCCTGAACGAAGGGTAATAATCTTGGCAGTATGATTTCGATAATTTCACTGTCGGGTTTCCTACCATATAGCATGTTCACTAGCTTGACTTTTTGTAGGATAAATTTGGTTAGTTCTTCAACCCTGCATTGGTAAAAGCTATATAATTCGGCTTCAAGCTTGGCACGATCTTTAACTATCGGGAACGCTTTTAGGAGTGCCCCTTTGAAATTCTAAAATGTATAGGTGAGTGATCCAACTTCACCTAGTAGGAATTTCCCAATTCCTTTCCACCAAGCCTCCGGCCTGTCCTCGGAGGCCACTCGAGGCAATAGTCACTTTTTGCCTTTCCAGTACCGGATACAATTGGAAGTGCATTTCAAGGGCTTCCAGAAATGAGGTGACGGAGTTCTTTCCGTTGAATACCACTGCTGGTTTAATTGCGGCCCTCATTGTTTGTATTAAGAAGCCAAATCCATCTAACGGAGAGGTCACCATTGGGTCTGCCACTTCTGAGCCTTGTGGAGATACTTCTTCATTGACCATTTTCTTGTTGGTTCATATTAATTCGGGCGCCAATGTAGAGTCCATGTAGGTTAACTTCTATCTGTATACTGGAGTAGCAGGAAACTACATAGGAGAAGGGTTCACGTACCCTTTATCAACACTTTAAAATTTATAATGCGTCAACTCGACACTAACAAGCTTCGCCTCTACTTGGGCAGTAATTGAAAGTCAGATAATTGAAACGAAAAGTTGAAATGTTAACAAGTGATGAAACTAGCCTACAGGGCTCAACGAGATCCCGAACTTAAACCTCCTTAGAAGCTAGTGGCAACAGATAAATGCAAGTAAGCCACTTGAACCAGCAATAATCAAACGTACCTACGGCAGAGATGGCAGCTAGAACCTAACTCTCTCTTTCTCCTACCAAAACTCGGCTTTTAACTACTTCCTTCAAAATAGAAAATTTGCATTCGTTCATGCGCGCTGCCATATTTAACTATTCTGGCACTGACAATTAGGGGAATGAAGGCTTATAAGAAAGTTTCAAATAAAACTTTAAATTATTAGTTAAAATAAATATAAATCCCTATGTAATCATTAGTTTTATGTACTCCCAGAATTCAGGTCAATCCTTTATTTATTACTAATTTATGATCCATGTTTTTGATCTTTGAAAGCAGAAAAGCTGATGCTTATTTTAAAATAATTTTAAAAATATAGTAATATTTCTATTTTTTAAATTGAGAAGGTGATGATTTTTAGAAAGCATATAGCTTTCTAAAAAATGTAGCTGCTCATAATTCAAACGTGAGATGAGATTCATGTAATAATACTGTAAAACTAGCAGGAGATAAAAAGAAAATAAATGAAAAATCAATTTCGGAAGATGATAGTTAACTTTAGGTCTCTGTCTGTGACTTAAAAGTAAATGAATAAAAATTGTTTTGCTTGCAAAAATTTATTTCTGAACTTGCTTTAGCAGTATATATGGCCACCATTATTTTCTTTCTTCAAAGAATTTGCATTATATGTTATTTAATTTTCATTCTAAATATTAAATATTAAAAAAATAATTTTTTGATATGCAGTGACAAGATAGTCAAAAAGTTTTTGAAACAAGACTGCAAGTCCGTGCTTTTAGTAATATTCAAACTTTTAATCCTTACTAATCTATTTAAGAATTCCAGTGCACATTTGGTCAGAATCTAAAGATAACATTCAAAATTTTATCTGATATGTCATTATTGCAAGGGTGGAGGGTACTGAATGAAAAAAAAAGTAACTGAAAAATATGAAAAAGAACAATAAGCCAAAAAATGTTAGGAAACTGTGCTATAGAGGAATTTTCTAATTGGCTTGTTAAAATAAATTTTAGTTAACTATTTATCTTTTAAGAACATTGAACCTTTTTTTTTTTTTTTTTTTTTTTTTCTTTTTTTTAGGTGATTTTGATGGCACACATGGACGTGAAAATGCAAATAAAATTGACCTGAACAGGAACTTTCCTGACCAGTTTGGTATCACTGATGAAAATGCTGTTCAGCAACCTGAAACCAGAGCTGTAATGAATTGGATTTTATCTGAGCCTTTTGTGTTGTCAGCAAATTTACATGGTGGTTCATTAGTTGCAAATTATCCGTATGATAATAATCGTGAGAATAGAGATGGACTTTACAGTAAAAGTCCTGATGATGAAGTATTTCGTAAATTAGCATCAGTGTACTCAAATGTAAATATGATTTGTTTATAGTGATTAACTTTGTACTGTCTTTGAAATAGCTTTTAGCTAGTTTTTCTTTAAAAATTTGTATTATTAATCAACCTTAGGTGTTTGTTACTTTGTTATTGTATTAATTGCAGTTATTAATGCTTTATAACTTTTTTCCCTTAAAATGTATTTTAATGCCTGCATACAAAAAGGAACTTTTTAAAGGTATGATATTTTCTATCGTACTGAATAATAATTTATTTATTATTTGTTTAATAATCTAAAATTTTTATCCTTCCTCCCCATATTAGGCATGTGTTTGTAATTTTATGTAAGGTATTCATATGGCATTTATGCTGAAAATATTTAAAATAAAGTCATTTGTGACTCCTGCTTTTGGAATTTTTTTAAGGCATAAGGTAAATTTGATTGTGATCTGGGTGCTGGAGATCGTGATTCGCAAGACTTAATTTCTCCTTGTATGTTAATAATATGTAAATTTCAGATTTAAATGTTCTATTCTATCAAAGTTTTATCTGTTATGTCTAGTTTCTTTTGGAGAAAATTTGACTCAAATTAACTCCTAATGTAAACAATAAATAAATTGCACAAAAGCTGTTATAAATGGGGTCTGACATCCTTTAGACCAGTTTTTTAATCTCATTCTTACTGTGATTCCACATTTTTCAATGCTCCATGTATACAGCATATTTCCTTTAGTGATTTATAAATTTATTCTATAATTATTACAATATTTTTGATTTTTCTGCAATGTGTCATGATTCTTCAAAAAGTGATAGCTCTGGCTTTACTTTTTATGCTAGGGAAGGGGGTGATGTTAGATATTCATAGCAATGAAATTTGGGGGGGGGGAATAGCAAAGCATATCATAAGGTTGAGCATGCAGAGCTACTAAAAAAATACTTATAGCTTGCTTAAAAAAGAACATGCCGAAGTCTAAATTGCAGTAGGGAGAAAGATATTTATTAGCATTCTGCTTTGTCATCGATCAGTTTTATTGATAGTTGATTATAATCAGTACCATTGCAGTGAAAATAGCATGTCTGAATTATTAAGTCAGGGTTTATAGTCATTCCAAATTGTTTTCAAAAGATAGTTATAAATTTTATCATTTTAATCTGTCTTTTGGTAAGGTTGCAGCAGTTGGTATTTAAGTAAGAGTGAATCAAAATATATTTATTTTGCCCAAAAAAGAGTCAGCCAAAAAAAGGGGGAGAAGCAGGAAAATAATCTGCTGCAAAGTTGAAAGAAGAATAAAACTGAATCAACAAAAACATTCAACTAGTCTATTTATTTATTTTGTACTTTCAGTAAATTTTTATTGTTTAATGTTATGCTGATCTACATTTGTTATTTTATCCCCCCACCCAAAGCTGTGATGGTTACACTTCATTCAATCTGATCATCATTATTCATGTCAATTTCATAAATTGTTATTTAATTCATGTTTTCTTAAAATTTGCAAATAATAGTCTGTTATATCTGATTATTATAGCAAAGTTTTAAATTCTTGCCACTCTGCTTTATTTTAATAGAAGCATTCTACAATGCACTTAGCAAAGCCTTGTGGACAAGGAAAAATGAATGAAACATTTTCAGGTGGAATTACCAATGGTGCAGTATGGTATAGCGTATCTGGTATGTAATTTTTGCAACTTCCTCAACGTTTACCTTCATATATATATATATATATATATATGTATTGAAGTTAAATAATAATGAAAAGTGTTTGATATTTATTTTGTGAAAATTTTATGTGAAATTTAATTTATGTGAAAATTTATTTAAATTGTTTATAATTTGTTATAAAAGTAATTGCAGATAAAATTTCTAGAATTGAAGATCCGTATCTTCTGCTTTCACAGGATGAATAGAAATTGTTTCTATATTGAATAAGTTACAGCTATGATTGTAATGCCTACCTATAGTAAAAGGTACAAAAACAAATGGTTGTTACAAATGAAACCATTGCAATGCTCCCAGCTAGCTAAATTTAGAACTTAGTGATTTTATCAAAAAATCACCAGTGATTAAAAAAGGGGGGGTCAGTTGTAAATTTGTAGAATATCACTGATTTAGTGTGAAAAGGTATTAGATGCATGGATATGATAAATAATCACCTGCCCATTCTAAAGTGTTGGAAACTGATGCCCAAATATTTTTCTGCAGTATTTGAGGAAAAATGTGTAGACATAAGTACAAAAATATAATTTCTTGGATAAACAACATATATTATGTTAATATACATAACATCAGCCAGTGTCAGTGACGTCAATTTATGAAACAAAACATGCAAATGAACTTGCATTGCTTGTAATTTAATATGTGCATGTTCAAAGAGGTTATCTTTTGCTATAATGCCCATTTTTATTCAAGAAATATATCTGCATGACATTCATCAATATAGAAGATGTTAAACTGCTCCATGTACTGTTGATGCAACAATATAGATCTAGGCAATCTAGAAGTATGTGACATTGTATATAATAAATCTTTTTTTGAAATCTCAGAAGAAAGAATTAATTGGAGTGAGATATAGCGACAAAGGCCATTCAGTAATATCCACTGTATTTCATTTGAGATAAATGCATTGCAGGTATCTCTCTGCACATTACATCTTTTCTTACTAAGATGATAGCCAATCATTTGCTAATGACAAATTTCTCATAACTTTCATAGTTTCTGAGATAGAATTTATAAATTCTCAGTTTTACAGGAGAAGGATTTCGGAACAGACCTCATTTTATTGAGTTCCTTTACTGTTAACTTGACATTATATTCATAGTTGTATCTGGCTGTGCACATCAGTTATTTAGATAGGAACGGAATTTCCTATTTATCCTGTATAAATTAAAATTTTTATACAATGAAGTATTTTTATTTAATAGCTTTTCCATCACTCTTCACATTGTATGATATAGTAACAAATTTCACTGATTAATCATTAGAATAGTAGTAAGAAAATTATAAAAATTTATTATTATTATTCCAATGACTATATATCATTTGAGGGGTTTTTATTTTTACTGTAGATGTTTTTTTTTTTTTTTTTTTTTTTTTTTTTTTTTTTTTCTGGCATTACTTCAAAATTGCCTGTAGGCAGTTGGGAGGAAACCCACAATGTAAAATATAGTAAAAATATAATAAGCAAACATTTAATACTACTACATTTTCAGTGGATTTGCTTTTATTAGTCTGCTATGGTTAATGTTATCACTAAGGAAGTAATAACTATTTCAGAAATTGACTGGAAAAGTGTTATGCAGTGAAAAGCTCTTAATAAAAAAATTATTACTGCAGTTATTAATGCAAATTAGGTTTGCCCGTATTGGTATGTTGTAGTTCTTTCAATGAGGAAATAATAATACACATTCCAAAAATTGAGTGGAAGAATGAAAGTTTTATGGGGTAAACTGCTGTTGCATTCCTCAAAAGCAATGGTGTGGTTTATGGCTTCATTTATTATCAATTCTTATGATTATTATTATTTCATAAACCATCTGCATTTATGCCAGTGGCATTTTTTGTTTATACTGTCACTGGCATAGATGCTTATAAAGTTTCCAAAACTTTGCTGTTGTAACATTTCATTAGATACTGGAAAGGACTGAGCAGTTACTCTCTCATCATTTTATGAATGAGAGAGTGATTGCTCAGTCCTTTCCAATATCATATCCATTTTTATTATTGAATTTTTACTCCTTTGTTTTGATAAAAGTGCCTGGTTAAGGCAATGTGTTAGTTTAGGATTCTTAAAAGACAGAGTTTCACAGCATGTGAAACCACTGTGCTCAAATTTTTTGCATTTTACATAATATGACTGCAGTTTTTGAAATGTGGAGTTGCAAACCTCAAAGAATTGTATCTGTGACTTAATCTGAAATTTTTAATGTAACATCAATGGATAACGTAAGTAAATTAATGAAACAGTGACACAAATTTTTATCCTTGTGGACTACTGGCAGTTAAAAAAGCAACTAGTTAAGTTTTAACTAGTGGCAGTTAAAAAACTGTAACTGCTTATTTAGGAATGTATGTATACAAAATTTGGTTGAGATTTAATGAGTGGTCTCGTTATGGAGAGGTTTGAATGTCATCTTTTTAATTATGGTTTTTCTGTAAATCATGTAATCCTAAATGTTTTCAATAAATTATCTGCTGAAGACAAATACTGCATATACACTAACTTCCAAAAGATAAGCACGGAGAGGATAATACTAATTTCCGGAAGCCAATCAGAATTGAAGAGGATGCAATTTGCTGCACAGGTAGATGGAAGTATGCAAATATGTTAGGTAACAGCCAGTTGCGCTTTCATCTCAAGAAATATGCAAAACAAGGCAGTCTTATAAGAAGCCAGCTTTATGAAGGGTTACAGAAGTTGATTGTAAATGCTGATAGAAAGCGTTTAAAACTTTCGTACAATTTGTTTTCAAGATATACATGTTTCTATGACTTCCAGAAGACAAATGGAAAATTCTGAGCGCTGGCGTGCTGTGGGCGCATTGAAGCAGGACAGTCGATCACAGATGCTGCTCTTTTCTTCAGCATTTATCATTCTCTAATTTCACATTTATGGAAACAATTCCAAACCACACAGAAAGTTGTCTGAAGACCCGCAGCCGGTCACCCAAGGATTACAAATCCCGCGGAAGATCAATATATTGCTATTGTAGCCAAGAGAAATCGCAGAGCGACCACCACACGTGTGACATCTATGGTTACAGCGTCCATTGGTAAGGCGATATCTGCAGCTACTGTACGCCAAATATTACATATAATTGGACTGTACGCTCGGTTACCTCGAGTTTGTGTTCCTCTATCCATCCAATCAAGAGGGGCACGATTACAGTGGTGCCGGGAACATGTCGATTGGAATGTGTCTGACTAGGGCAATGTCATGTTTACTGATGAGTCAAGATTTGCTCTAGAGCCAGATGACAAGCATATAAGGATATGGTGTAAACAATGAACACACAATCAGTCCCAAAACATCACCAAACATCATGCATTCCGAGGCGGAAGCATTATGGTTTGGGCAGGGATTTCATTAGGATACTGCACGACCTGCAGATCTTTAAATGGGGTTCTTTGACGGCTGTCCGGTATTGAGATGAAGTTCTATAACCCATTGTGAGATTGTAAGCTGCAGCACTTGGCCCTACTTTTGTTTTAATGGACGATAAGGCACGTCACCATAGAGCTGACATCATCGATGACTACCTGGAAAGTGAAGGGATTGCACGTATGGCGTGGCCAGCATATTCGCCCGACCTTAATCCCATTGAAAATCTTTGGGATGCTCTTGGCCGTGCTGTATCTTCACGTTTCCCACCTCCAGCCACTGTTATTGAGTTGGAAACTGGTCCACAAGAAGAATGGCGATTGCTTAATTCTGCAGTGGTTGACCACCTAATTGAAAACATGGTCACAAGGTTTAAACTTTGTATACAGATGGGGGGGATCACATACCCTATTAATGTCCTTTTTTTCATTTTATGCTGTTTATTTTCATTTTATACATAATTCTGTTTAAGTGTCCAGTATGTCATTATCTGATAACTTACAAAATTTAATATTGTTTTCATTTCTGTATATAATTATTGATTTTGTTTTATGCATAAATATATATGCTACTTTCCTGCCGAATTTTGTGTCAATCAAAGGAGTATTTGTTGATTTTTTTGCATTTTTACATCTCCGTGCTTAACTTTTGGAAGTGAGTGTATTTTGAACATAATTAGCAATATACAATAGCAACTTAATTAGTTATTTTTTGCCACTGTGAAAGTTTGTTTTGGGGTATACATGTTAACTTAGGCTCAGGTATAGACATGATTTCTCTACCAATCAAGAAGTGTCCGGGGGACAAAAGTGTATAATCATTAGGATTGGAAGACATAGGAGAAATGGGGCATGAATTCAAATACTTTTCAGTTCATATAACAATTGTTAAAAACTCCTCTGTACTTAAATTAGTATTTCCCATGACATGTTTTCCAAAGCGTATTAAATTATTTAATACCATCCTCCCAAAGACCATCAAAATTGGACACCTTGAGAGGGATGAACTTCCAGTCAGCACCTTTGGAAGATAAATATCTTGCAAGAAGTTCATCAAGGTGAATTAATCATGTTAAAAACAATCTCTACTCTGCTGTCGCACCTATGAATGAATGTGTGTTATCTTTAAAAAGTTTTCTAGTTTTACCTCTTCAAAGGGGGGGGGAACTTTTAAGACAAGAAATGAAAGTTTGTGTCATTAGATCTGTTAAAACTTCCAAATAAATTGCACAGGTTGCGAGGCAAACAAATATGGCTACAGAAACCTTGTTGAATACACCTTTACACTCTTATTGAGCTAGAAACTGCTCTACAAAAAAAAAAAAAAAAAAAAAAAAAAAAAAAAAAAAAAAGAGCGATTGCTTCATTCTCCAGTGGTTGACTACCTAACTGAAAGCATAGTCACAAGGTGTAAACTTTGTATACAGATGAGGGAGGATCACATACCCTATTAATGTCCTTTTTTTTTCATTTTATGCGGTTTATATTCACTTTATACATAATTCTGTTTAAGTCTCCAGTATGTCGTTATCCGATAACTTACAAAAATTTAATATTATTTTCGTTTCTGTATATAATTATTGATTTTGTTTTATGCATAAATATATATGCTACTTTCCTGCCGAATTTTGTGTCAATCAAAGGAGTATTTGTTGATTTGTTTGCATTTTAATCTTCGTGCTTAACTTTTGGAAGTGAGTGTATTTTGAATTTAATTAGTTATTTTTTGCCACTGTGAAAGTTTGTTTTGGGGGATACCTGTTAAGTTAGGCTCAGGTACAGACATGATTTCTCCACCGATCAAGAAGTGTCTGGGGGACAAACACTGTATAATCATTAAAATTGGAAGACAGGAGAAATGGGGTGTGAATTCAAAAACTCTTCAGTTCATACAACAATATAACATACTTTGTTTCAAGTTGGCACATATATCTTTAAAAAAAAAAACTGCTTGTCGCATGATATTGTATCATGAAAAATATCGCAATTGTTGAAAATTTTCATTTTCTACTTGCCATGATTATGGAAAATACCATCAGGGAGCTTTACTGTTTAAGCTGAGGGGGGCCATAAGCAAAACGATTCATGCCTTTGATTATTCAGTAGCTTTGATCTGTGTTCAGAACTTCAGTATCTTCAATTCTTTTTTTTAGTACACAAATACCTTCCTGATATTGAAGGCTATGGTCAATCATACAATTTTGAAAAGGAATGCAGTTTTTTAAGCATCTGTGAATACTATAATTTTGCAAAATGCAGCAGAATTGATATTGTCATTATTTTTACCTGAGTTTTTACAGAGAAGAACAAGAATTCTGATTGATAGAGTCAAAGAATCCTTGACTGCATGATGGAAGCCAACAAGAAACGTCTCTATTAAGACTGTGACAAGACACTAAGGATTCTTTGTTTTATGGATTGTCTAATGTTATAGACATTAACATCTATGTTGTCTGACATTAATTTAGATGTATTAAAATGTGTACTCAAATATTGGTTGCCAGTTCAAGCAACTATTTTATGTTTGTGAGCTTTTTTGATATTCCATCAGTGTTGGTAATTACGCCTGAAAACTTTTACCTTTTCTTCTATTAGGTGGCATGCAAGACTGGAACTACTTGCATAGTAATTGTTTTGAAATAACCATTGAGCTTGGTTGCTTCAAATATCCTTATGCTAAGGACCTTCCTGATTATTGGAAAGCAAACAAAGAAGCTCTTATAGCCTTCATTGAACAGGTGAGTGTTTTTATATTTTCTTAAAACTCTATTTTTAAGAAACAAATAGATCTGATTTTCATGTAAATTTTTCATTTACCTGATTTTAATATAAAAATTTAGTACAAACATTTAAAATTAAGTAGCAAAAAGGTGCCTTAAATTGGCACAGGTTTTGAATAAAATTACATTGATTTTGGGGGCTATCAGGCATAGATCCCTCTTCTTCAGTAGCAAAAAATGTTTGCAAAGATGGGAAGTTTGTTTTCCATTTTAACATTTTTGCTGGTAGTATGAAAGTGTTTCATAGCCAAATTTTTCTTGAAAATCTGATTTAGTGATAATCTTAAATTAATGTAATGTTAAGCTTCTTTTTTTTTTTTTTTTTTTTTTTTTTTTTTTTTTTTTTTTTTCAATTATGGTGTGTAGTTTTCCTAACATTTTCATGTTAAAAATATGTTTGTTTTCATAATTTACATTAGGTAATATAATATTAAGATTCTTTTCTTAAACTATATATTGCAATATGAGATTTTTCTATGCATTGGTGTTAAATACTATGTTTGTTCCCTTTTCCTCAATTTAAAATTTTAAATATTAATCTACTTTTATATTTAGCAACTAATGATATACTTTTAAAGATGACACTTAATGTGCTAATAGTTAATGTTATCAGTCAGATATTGTTATTGAATAGCCAAAGCCATGCCCTTTTGTACACGAAAGTGTCACCTTATTGTGATTCATTATTCTTTTAATATGAAAGTTACTGAAATATTGTAGAATAAATTTTATAAACTGAAATAAAGTTGCCAAATAATATTAATATGCATTATAAAAATTGCCAAGTTAAGACATATCACCAAGTAAGAGATTAAATCATGAAACATCTTGGTTTCGATTCTAGTCAATCATTTAAGATTAGGCACAATATATATATATGTAGATTTTTAGTAACTCTATCAGTTTTTAGAGGACCAGATGCAAGTGCCACTTTTTCAGGGGCACAAAATATGTCTGAACCCTAAAAATGTCTATGCCAAACTAAGACTGCTTTTTTGGCGAATTTTAAATTTTGTGGTGGCAAGTTCTCTTCAAATGAGGAATGCCATCCAAGTATTAAATTTAGGGTACAGCATTGGTCAAATAATTTCCAAATATGTTATGAACAGTTCATAAATGAACTTTTGCATTAAAGGCATTATGAACAGTTTATAAACAAACTTGCATTCTCTAATTAAAATGCTTTGAAACTGCCTATTAATATGTTTCTAATTAGATTTATATTAAAATTATTTAAATTAGTTAAATTCCATTGTTGTTATGAAGGAATTTTTTTTTATAATTTCTTGTTATCATTCAGTTAATATTATCAAAGTAGCATGGACAGACATGATCACATTAAACGGCACCTACTGTACTTTATTTGTGTTTTGGACTGTTTCATATTTTAATTATAAAACTTTCTGTTTTATTTATTTATTTTTTCTTTGAGAAACCTGTGTATATGAAAATCATAATTTTATCAAAACCTGTATTTTTAGGTTCACACAGGAGTACACGGTTTCATAACAGATAACAATGGAAATGGTATTTCAAATGCAACTGTACATGTTAGTGGCATAGATCATGATGTCATTTCTGCACAGTATGGTGATTATTGGAGACTTCTAAGTCCTGGAAAATATGTTATAACTGTTAAGGCTGCTGGGTAAGTATATTATGAAATCCTTCTAATTACTTCTTGTAATTTTGGTCTAGTACAGATAATGGTGTGAAATGTTTTGATTTAATTCAAAAAATATAGTTTAAATTATGAACAAAGAATATTAAGACATTCTATCACATAATTTTAGTAAAATAACATTGTTCAAGAAAGCTGTTTGGAAAATAATTGTGATTTATGACATGATGAATGAAATTATATAAAATATTTAAAAGAAAATTTTATAAATATGTTTAATTACATAACATCTTTTACTTCTGTGAAAGAGGGTGCTAGTAAGTTCTTGGTTTAATTTTCATATCACCTATGAAATGTTGCCTTATATGATGCAGTAAAATAGATTGGATTGGATTTATTATAGTATAGCAAAGATAGGGCTATATGCCTAAGAGGAGGGATGCCTTTAAGAAGAACTTAATAAGAGAAACTTTTTCAAATTTATATTGCTCATGAGGGAAACGATGGAAGTGCCCATATAGCGAGCACTTTTTCCAGAATTTGTAACCTGGTCAAACTAATAGGGTTCAGCTAGTCTGCTCTCTTTGGCCACAAATTGGTGGTATCAGAGGCATACCTAGGGTTCTTAGCCCCAGGGACAGCTGAAGATTTTTTGCCCCTTTCTGTGTGCCAAGAATGGGAAACATTTCATTCTAAAATTTCGCAACATAAATTTGGCGCCCCCTGAATGCTGCACCCGTGGACAGATGTCCTCCCTTGCTCCACCCTAGCTACGCCACTGGGTGGTATGCAGCAGTGAAGAATTCCTGAAGATATTGCATATTGAAATTACTGATATTTTCATTATGAGGATTTTTTAAGCTCAAAGGAGGTTGTTTTACTTTTTCTGTTTCTTTAATTTGATGTTAACAAAGCAGTTCAAGTTTAAATGAGTTCACTGAGTGTATAGTTTGGAAGAAGAGGCTTAGTACTGAATAAAATGGTTAAAAGAAAAACTAATCAGCTTTGTGGAAACAGAACTTTGAAAGCAAAATTGAATTAATATCCAATTTTCCTGCTTCATATTTTTCATAAAAAATCATATATAAATCATATATAAATATGAGTATTGTGTATCTTATTAGCATGATCAAGAACCAGTGTATATGAAATAACATGAGACAAAAACAGGTAATTGGTTTTTTATCTAATAAAAGTGTTTTGTATGTAACATGAATAAAATACAAGAAAATAGATTTATTATGAATTTTCTTTATTGAAAAGAACAGAAATTCAGAAATATTTATCCAAGGCATTGCATAATTGTGAAAAACTTTATATTAAAAGTCCATTATGAATCTTGTTTTGTAATAGCTTTCTTTTTCAGTTATTAGCTATAGTAAAATTTTGATGTGAATTTTGTTACATAATGATGATGATATTTGTATTCATTTTTTCCTCAATTATTAATTTTTTATGTTGTAATAGGAACCTAAAAATAGCATTAAAAGGAATATAACTAAAATAATATTAAAAGAATACACTCAAAAAATTTCAAGTTTATTTTAATAATCTTAAGATTAATATTTATAACCTTGTAAGCTAGAAAAGTGTACCATGAAATAATTTAAAAGGTAAATCAAGGAAGTAAATAATACTTAAATATAGTATTTCATAATAAAGTATTGCAACTGAGAATATTATTAATACTAAAGCTAATGGAATGTATCCAGCTAGCAGGTTAAAAAATTTAATAATTTTCATTGGTTTTAGGAAATTCCCATGTGTGATAAAATTATGATCTAGTTTCTTTTTGAAGTCTAGAATCATAAGGCTCTCCCTCTTGAATGCTGTGCTGTAGTTACTAATTCCTTTATTATGAATGATGATTTCCATTATAATAAATAAACATTTGTTGGGTCTGTTAGCCATGCAAAAAAATGCCAAAATTAAAAATACTAATATGTTTTCAGTTGTGTTATTTCACATATCCTGCAAAATCTTTTTCACATAAATTTTTAATAAAAAATATCATTGATTTAGAAGTCAAACAACAAAAATCAGCGTTATATTTTCAAATTTCACAGCAATGCTGTTTTTTGTTGTTTGACTTCTAAATTAATATTTTTTCAGTGTGTTATTGTATCTTAAATATCATATTTTTAATGAATTTTATTTTAAATCTAATTCTTTAGATTTTCTCAGAGCACTAAAAAAGTGGATGTCCCAGAAGAAGGATATGTTACTATTAATTTCACTCTGGATAATTCCTTCATTGAATGGTCCCAAAAAGAAGATTTTGGAATTCTAGAAAATATTGAGGGCAGATATTTGAACAACTTTGAATTGCATAATGAATTATTGCAGTTAGCCAATGAGAACCCTGATCTAATAGCCCCAATGGCTAATTTTGGCAAGGATGGTCTTAAAGCTCTTAATTTTGTCATAATATCGTCTGAGGTAAGTATTTATAAATTTGAGATTCTTCTAAATTATACATATATATATATATATATATATATATATATATATATATATTAAAGAGTTATAGGGGTACTTGATTATTATTTGAAGAATTATTGGAGTGCATATTAAGATTCTACTCACCTGGACAATCAGGCAAATGGTCAGGGAAGTCATAAACTTTTTACAAAATGTTCATAACCAACAAAAAAAAAAAAAAAAAAAAAGGTACAGATCTGTTCTCTTTGATAATAAAAAGTAAATGTTCTAAATAGTAAGCAATAAATAAAAATTATCTATTTAAAAAAGAAACCAGTTATTCTAATCTGTATTTTGTAATTATGATGTATTTTACTAAATTCATAGCTAAAACAAATTTATCAAACTACATCTCTCCTCTCCACCCACTAATGAGAATTGTACATTCTTCTCTTTAGTAATGCCAAGAATTTATCAAAAAGTTTCTAACCGAGTGTTGTTGACAAAAAAAATACTACTTATCTATGTTTGAATACCGTCTTCTTTGAATATACACCTTGCATGGCACTACACTCATTCCAGCATTTCTGCCTCTCTAGAATATAGCTCCAGACATTCTGTATAAGTGAGTCCATATTGTTTTGTGTTTTATGCTGAATTTCATTGCCATGGACATTGATGCTTATGGACATGAAGGATAAGTTATGTACAACACGTTTACAGTGATCTTGGTACATTATGACATAATGTTCTTTTTTTGTGTAGTGATCAGCAGTTGGGAAGCAGAACTATCACCAATAGGCTGCATTTTAAATTCTGATGACAGAATTGTCTGCACTGACCTATACAATATATTATCAGCGATTTGTTTCAGAAAATTATGAGCATAGATAATAGAGTGGTACACTGACAATTTACTTGTTTGGCACCATCTTTTAAACCTAAATCAGATCTGCTATTGAATATGAAGCTGAGTTATAAGTTACTGCATGTAAGATCATACAGATAAATAAATGAAAGTGGAAAGTGTTCAGAACAAAGTACTTTGAATAATCATCAGTTAAGCCATCCATTTACAGTTCAGTCTGGTCATTGGTTGACCAAGGCAAAGATATGCTGTGAAACCAATGAAAATTCCTAAGATTTACATGTTGTGGCTGACATATTTAGCTGCTCAACTTAGAATATGGCAAAAGAATTAGCAGTCAATTGACAGGCACTTCAGTAAACCGTAATCTGCACTTGATGCTTTCCATAAGAAAAGGAAACTTTCTTTGGTACTTTCTGATTATCCACAGTCTCTCCCCCCCCAAAAAAAAAATATTAAAAATCTGTGAATAGTTTCATTTATAAATTAGCACAATATTTTCCATATTTTAATGAAAGTTTTAACATTACACAATAAATATAAACTTAAAAATAACATCAAAAGTAGCTACTGTCTATTAAATTGCTAATTTTAAAAGAGTTCATTTAAAAAAATGTGTGTGCTCTTAATTAATGTAAGTTCTAATTGTCGCATCTCAGGCAAAATGTCGTGAACTTGTTGATGATTTTGGAGAGAATCTGCAGACTCGTTGCTAACTAATTTTTTGCCAAGTGAATCTGCGAAAAAGGATAGTCATTTTCGAAATAACAGTGCAGCATTGTGCACCAGCCATAACAGACATGTGCTATATGCATACCTGGGTTGTTACATAAATATGTTTTGGTGACTATGTGGGTTACCACATAACTAACATTTTGTATAAAGAAGACTTTCCCGTGATTTTTCAGTTGGCATGTGGATAATCAGAAAGTACCGTTTCTTTTTCTCTCAACAATAATAAGTAAAATAATAATAGTAATCTCAACAGTAATAATAAGTAATAATAAGTAAATTTTCATAACATTTTTAATTATTACTTTGTGTTTTGTAGTGAATGGATAATATTATTAAGTTATTTATGCTTAAATTGGTAATTAGTTCTTTATATTTTCATCTAAAAAATTGATTATAAAACATGAATTTCAGTGACAGTCTTCTTAATAATATTAAGTTTTATTTTTAACTGAGCTTGTTTTAAACAAGATAGGATTTTGAAAATTTTGAAGTTGTATTTAATATTATTATATAAGTTTTAAAATTATATAATGCATATTATTAGCTCACAGAGGCATTAGACTCAAAGAGCTATTAGTCTCAAAAGAGCGTTTTGTGTCGTTTCACTTTCTGCATTGGTTTACTTTTCAAACTGATACCACATATTATCGCCACATATTATTATATTTAAAGAAACTAAATAAGGAAGAATTTGCATGAATGTTTCTCGCATTGGGAAAAAACAATGGTACCTTGAGCCATCAATTTTTAAATAACATGGGTACAGTATAAAGTCCAAAATCCAGACTCCATTATCCGGAATGATCTAAAATCCAGATCTCAAAGCCAAACAAATTTGTGAGATTAATAATTTGGCTCCGTAGCTGAGTATCTACTTGGCGTACATCTCAAACCGAAATATTCACCTATTTTATATCCCTGACGCCGACCTGGCGAGCCATTATTTATTATATTTTGCTTTCATTACTGCATGTTTTTTTTTTTTTTTTTTTATATTAGTAATTGAATAACAAGAGTATGGCAACCTTTTATGCTAATGGTTGGCGATGATTATAGATTTTTAAATGCTCTAAGAAATGCTGACAAGGAAAAATTCAACAAAAACTTCCTTTCATATGCTAAAAATAGATTTTGTTAATGAAACTCATAGACCAAAAGATTACATTTAGTGCTATTTAATTAAGAATAATTGATATGTTATTCACGATATAGAAGAAGAAGACGGCAGAATTTAGAGCCGCCAGAAGCAGCAGCAGAATATGTCGGCAGCGGACAGCAGAATTTAGGGCAGACGAAATTTTTTGAACCCTGGGAAGCACCGAGCGGCAAAATTAAGGGATGAGAAGTTTTTTATGATTTAGCAAAATTACTGGGATCTAAAGTTTAGGCGTGGTGAAAATTGAGAACATAGGAAGCACTTTATAGCAGAATTTAGGACCCAGACTGCACCAGACGGTATCGAGCGCCGACCCTAGATAAAGCATTAAGTATATGTGGGAGTTTATTTATTCAGGACTCAGATAAGTTTTAAGCAAGTGCAAGAAATAAACGTAGGTATAGTAAATAACTAATAAATACAGTTCAGACTTAATTCAGTACACAATAGGAGCAAGACAAAATTTAGCGAAGCAACTTGGCTTTCATCGCCAATCTAGTGATACACAGCCAATAATGTATAACAAATGCTATTTTAAGGTAGGCTTAAATTATCTTTACTTATTCTAAGTCATTTCGATTAATGTAGCAGACTGTGCTGCTTCCTCATCCTCTAATTTGATCCAGCTTATTAATTTTTGCAGACTGTTATTATTACGGCAATTTTATAAAAACTAAGCTTGAACTTTCGATTATGTTAAAAAAAGTTTACAATTCTGGAGCTGCCAAAGGATCTGCAAAGCGAAACCATCTTTCGATGGCCATTAAACAAAAAGTGGAATTGTTGCAAAAAATGGATAAAGGCATATCTGTCTCAAAATTATGCAAGGAGTACGGCATTGAAAAGTCAACTGTGTATGAGACAAGAAAAATGAAAAAGGAACTTTTTTGAATTTTTTGTGGAAGCAACTTAAACAACTTACATTGAAAGAAATGTTTAATAAAGTAAACAAATAAATATTAAGCTTTTTTTTTTAATTTTGATATTCTTTAGATCATAATTGTTCTTTATTTCATAAATTACGATTTCATATTTTTAATTGTATAATTTCTGCGTGCCATCTTTGATTTAAATTGATTATCTAATATCCGGAAAAATACCAAATCAGGAATTGCTGAAGTCCCGATGAGTCCGGATTTCAGACTTTGTACTGTACTTTTAAGCCGAATTTTTAATTTCGTGTTTGTTTTAATATCTATTTCAAATTCTGTAAAACTTTAACAAATTTTTGATTAACAAACTCAATGACTTCAAAGGGAGCAATGGTAACACTGTATAGATTTTATCTTCAGTGTTCGTGACTGTGTATTGGATATTCTAAAGATCTGCTGTTTTAAATATTTTGTGTTATCGCTATGTGGTTTAAGTGCAAAGAACATTATATTTAATAAATAAAGGTAGCACACAAAATGTTAAAAAAATGCCCTTTTGGGCATAATATAAAATCTAAAAGCTTTTTAAAAAAGTTTTATTATTAGTTCTATAAGGAAATGTAAACTGTGATCAGATTAGAATTGAATTTGTTAGCTGCTTTTTTTTTTACATTGTTACCATTTTTAATATGTATGGAACAATTGTTTAAATTGAGTTCTTCATGAGTATTTGTAATTCTAATTTAAAACTTTGTTTTTCATAATATGAATGCATGTAAGCAGCCAGAGTTATGAAATCTGTTTCGTTAATCACGGTTATTAAACCTGGTTATTGTTATATACAGGGTGTGATTCAAAAGTTTCAAGACTTACCTCAGAACTAGAAATTGTTGGACGTTTAAGTATAGCTTACTAAAATTCTTCAAACTATGATCCTTCTGCATCAACACAGTGTTGCCAGCGCATCTTCCACTCTTCGTACCCCTTCTGGACGGCCTCAGGCGTCATGCTCTCAAGGGCTGTCGTCGAAGCCTGCTGGATGGCGCTGATAGAGTCAAATTACTTCCCTTTTAGGCCTGTCTTGATTCGAGGGAAGAGGAAAACATCACTTGGAGCCAAGTTGGGGCTGTAGGGTGGTTGCGGCAGTGTTGTCACGTTGAACTTGACCAAAACTTCGGCGGCGACGCACGACGTGTTAGCAAACGCATTGTTGTGGTGGAGATTAAAATTGCCGGCGGAAACGGCGGTGTTTAAAATAGAAGGTGTTTAAAACTTTCATACAATTTGTTTTCAAGACATACGTGTTTCTATGACTTCCAGAAGACGAATTGAAGATTCTGAGCATTGATTGGCGTGCTGTTGAGCGCATTGAAGCAGGAACAATCAA